CAGCGCCCCCCGCGCGCCTGAAAAGGATAAGCGGAAGCGAATGGATGGATAGTTTAATTACCGTCCGTGCATTCAAAAGCGCATCAATACCAATAAGAACTATTTTAAAATGATAAAATGTTTGCCTCAGTCCATGTTGTTAAGTCTCATTAACCCCAAACCAGCAAAATCTGTGTTAGTCTTGTGAAGGGATCCTTGCCAAAAAGGCTCCAATAGCACCAAAACTTTTGCTTTGCTTTGATGATCAAAAACCCCCCAAATCATTCTAGGTTTCTATTGTTATGAATGAATATCTGTACAACTATTCACAGAGATTCATCTAATAACTGCTGAGCGAGACCCGTCGACAGAACATCCCTAGAGCTACGCCACTACCGCTGCTAAAACATTACTTGAGTTTGAATGCACATCTCAGCCGCCTTCATCTGCACGGTTCCACTGGGTTTCAACACTCGGGGCCTCTTTGCTCATCATTAAAACACTGGCTTTTCAAATTCAGTTAAAACTGTGCAAATGCCTCACCAGAGACTTCTGTCCATAGCCAAACACTGATTCAGCACTGCATCGAAGATGTAAACCAAGCCGCAGAGTAGTGAAGGATTTCCATGAGAGTTGCTCTCTTCTCTTCTGCTCCACTGCTGCCGCTGCCTACTCACTCAGTCGGCTATAGGTGGCTCCTCCAGCAAAAGCACTCAAATGTGCTCACTGGAAGCGCCAGAGGCTGGACAACTGTTCTCTTCTGCTCTGTAGCCATTATTAGCCCTTTCACTGTGACCTACCATGCTGCAGTGGAGCTAGCTAAGTTTGTTTTGCAGTGATTAGTGAGAGTCTGTGATGTCTCTGTTTTTCTTTGCTCTCTTTACAGTGTTTGGTGTCTGTGGGTTTGGACTCGAAAAACACAATCTGTGTGTGGGACTGGAGGAGAGGGAAGGTTCTGGCAGCCGCTCCCGGTCATACAGACAGGGTAAACACTTTCCTCCTCCCCTTGCTCCTCCGTCACAAGCTTTGTATTGACCGCCTCAATTAGCTATAAATGCAGGATGGAGCACCTGCCCAACAGGGACATAAACAAGTTAGGCCTGATTGATTGTAAGCCTTCCAGAGCCCATCGGAGAGGGTGTACATCTAATGAAAAGGAATTTAAAAAAGATGAAATACAGGCAGCTGTTGTTTTCTAATTCAGCCCACACACGTTATAACACAGGCAGGGTAAACACACACAGACACACCACACACTTTTTTTTCCCTTTTAATTTCCTCCTCCTGCAGCAAATGTGATTATTAAAAGTCCAGACTTGAAGGTGGATGTTGTGGTATTTAATGCATTGTGTGTTTTCTCCCTGCAGATATTTGACATATCGTGGGATTTGTACCAGCCGAGCAAGCTCGTAAGCTGCGGTGTCAAACATATCAAGGTACAGCCATTTCCTGGTCGTTTTATGCGATGTACTATAGATGGCTCAGGCTTGCACAATATATGAAAACAGATTATGATTTTTAGAAGTTTTCATGGCGCCTCGGTTCTCCCCGCTTTATCGTCATGGCCACATCAAAGCCTTAAAATAGATCTATGCAAATTCGTTTTATTTCATGGCTATAAGGCACTTAACATAAGTAGGACAGGCAAAGACTCACTCTCTCTCTTCTCTCAAATTTGTAGTAATCTGCACTGCAGAGAGTAAAATGTTTCTTTTTCTTTTTTTTTTGTTGAAGACCGTGACTCTGCTACTCAGCTCCCCCTTTCAAAATCCCCATTCAACTCTATAAAAGCCCTCCGCTCTACAAACTGCAGCTGTGCTCACTTCCCTTTCCAGGCCTATCTCTATCACTCTTTTCAAGAGTGGCGCTCATAAATCTTCAATGAGTTGATGCAGGGTGTCTGTCTTCGCCAAGCCTTCCCTTGGGATGTGTAGTTGTAGTGTTCAGAGGAGGCTCATTTCCAAAACATTGGGAAAAGAATGAATCACACTCAGATAGGAAATGTACCCTCTGGCTCTGCAAGGCTAAGTATTCAGGCACGCTTAAGTGGGCAATGCAGTCGAAAGGGGGTGGGAGGTCGGGGGTTAACCTACTGTACGTTTTTCTCGGTGTCTAACGTTCTCTCGTAGTAATTACCCCCTGAACTCTTCCTCAACTGCCTCAATGCAGAAACTGCTGCACCCAACCCCCCCAGTCTTTGCAGAATCCTTTGGTCCTTCCCCGTCCTCCTCATCTCCTTTCACCCCTTCGGGTTGTCTGATGCCAAGGCAATCCAGCAATTGTCCCACATAATTCCCCAGCCCTTCACCCTGCAGACCATGTGACATCTGCTCCCCTGGCCTGTTTTCGCTCCGTGATTATAGCACTCAGAGCATACAGGAGATTTAGCCCCAGTAATCCACTCACTAGCAGGGAGGAGGAAAACACCACCTCTGTGGTGGGGACGCTTTCCTCCACATGCAGCTACTCATCACTTTGTGTTTTGAATTCACAAACATATACCCCACTTATCCAGCTTTTTCGAAGACTGTTGTACATTTATGTTTTGTGTGTTGTCACCCAGTTTCTCCCAGCTGTTTGACTTCTCACAACAAAGCATTAACTTCCTGTGACGCCAAATGACTGGGTCATTTATGAGGAAAAACATCTTAACATTAAAAGAAACTCAGAAAAAGTTACCTAATTTTTTCAGATCATTTCCAGCAAATCATATAACAAAAGCCCCTGGTTGGGAATCAGAACCATAGGTTGGCCACCAACCTTAAACCTGTGTACATAACATGATAATTTCATAATTTCAAAGTTTTTATTTGTCTGGAGTCAACTACCAACTCACTTGTGTATTTTAAACCCACGTGGTGATCTCACTCACATGGTGTTCATAGCATATAATAATCTCAACACATTATCACACCACTCAGATATAAATAGAAGCAGACTCACGTGCCTAGAACAGCATAAAATATATCCACAACTCACGGTTAGTAAAATGTCAAGGGTACATGATGAAAACAGCTAGTGAGAGAGGTGTTGTTTTTGTGTTTTGGTCATCTGAAAGCCACAAAGCCACAGAGGTCGGCTTGAGTTCAGGTCAGTTAGCTGTCCTTAAAGCAGGCTGCCAAATAGTTGACCTCTGTTAGTGCAGCAGCAACATTTAGGGTCACTTTATTTGGGCAAGAGGGGGAATTGAGAGTGGGATGCAGGGCGTACAGGGTCGTGCAGTGCAGTAGATAATGAATGACTGACCTTTCTATGTTAATTACACTTAAAAGCTTTCCCTTAGGGTGATGGTGGAGGTAACCGAGCTAACGACATACTACTAATCCTGTGCTAAGAGGAGGAGCTCGCTCAAAAGTGTCATTGCCAAGATTTGATTTTGACTCAGAGGAGTCTTATTTTCAGGGACCTTTCCTCCGTGTTGTCCCTACCCCTGTGTGCCTTTCTCTGCTGCTCATGGCCTCATCATAAACCTCTCCAGCATCCAGTTCTCTCTCGGTAATTCTGCAGCGAAGGGATTAGCCAGCGCCTGTGTCTCGCTGCCTTATCAGTTGCGGGCAGGGAGGTCTGTGCAGTCACGCCGCATCCATCCCCACTGCTTCGGCAACAGGCTGTGCGACAAAGCCCCCTCCCACGAACCCTTACCAAACCCAGCACTTGACACACTTTCACCTGTGTGCCCCAGTATTCATCACACATTTATGATTTCCACTATTTAACCTTCAACGAAACCACAAAAGCTCCCTAACTCGCAAATGCTCCCTGAAATCTCAGTAAAGAGCTCAAGACTAGAAAAGTCCTGTCTTGGTACGGTGTGTGCAAGCCTTAAATGACTGATGGCATCTGCGATGCTTGTCTATGATAATCAGTCCCTCCTCTTAGAGCGCAACAGCTCTATCAGTCAGGGCAATGGGTGTTAGTGAGGGTGTGACAAGCTGTCACTTTCAAAGAGCTCATTTGTTTATCCTGTTAGTCCCTATCAAGCTGCTGTGCAATCATTCGTGCAATGTCCGAAACACAAATATCCATTTTGAGTCAAGCTATAGGTTTGAATACGAAGCAGCTGTCAAACACATGATCAGGTGAAGCAGAAAATAGGCTGTCAGCGTGTCATTTTTCTGCCGCCTGCCGGTGATGAGTGTCTCGCTTTCACGTGAGGATGGCTGTGTCTCAGTATTCGAGACGCCTTTCCTGAGCTTTGTCCCTGTGATCTCATCTCCATGCAGACAGAGCGTCTCATTTTCACTCTCTCCCCCTCCGTTTGATGGATTTCGCCCTCAGACGAGGCCATGCCTGTGCATCCCAATGACCTTGTTCATAAATCATGAGCATGCGTGTATGTGCGTGTGTCTGTGGATGCTGATCAGGTGATTACGACACAGCCCCCACCCCCCAGCGAGAGTACCCAGTATGGCATACAGAGACTTTGGGTGAGGTGTGGGATTAAGTGTTTTGAGTTTGACTTTTCTTTCAAGGTCTGTGTGCGTGTGTGTGTTTTTTAATGGTGGTTGTACGTGTGTGCCAAAACACACGTATTTGGTCCCAAATACTGCGTAATTGTGCCTTTGCCGTTTCAGGACAGGATTACACAGGGGATTATTAGCCACCATACTCTTCCACTCTTTCTGTTTGTGTTTGCAGTTCTGGAGCTTATGCGGTAATGCTCTCACGCCCAAACGTGGTGTTTTTGGCAAAACGGGGGATCTCCAAACAATCCTCTGCCTTGCTTGCGCCAAGGACGAAGTCACCTATTCAGGTGCCTTGAACGGTGACATCTACGTGTGGAAAGGGATTAACCTGATGAGGACTGTGCAGGGTGCTCATGGGGTAAGTGTGTAATCAGGGTGCATTGTGGTCTTTCGCTCAGGCGGGTTTTGCTTGCACACCTCCAGGTATATACAGAGCAGAACTAAAGTAAAAGCATCTAGTAAACTTAACGGGGTTCATAGCTATGCTCGCTGGATTTATTTGATTCTGCTCTGTAGAAAAGGATCAGCCTTTTCCTCCACAGGATTAAATGATATCTACGGGATCAACAGCTGGGTGAGGGGGGATAGGCGAATGGGGGAGGGGATAATAACTACAGTACATGTCCATTCCTGCTTTTTGGATGACCAAATATCTTACTAGGGGTTGAACAGGGGCAGACCAGACAAACAAGGGCATCAGTAGAGCTTTCCACTTAAGCTATAATAAAAGCAAACATGACAACTTCCTTTTCTCAGTTTGGTTTTATCTCGAGGCCGCTGTAGCCAGTTTGTAATTGCAAAAGCCTTGTTCAACAAATGCCTGGCTGAGGAGCAGCACTATGGAGTTTGTAGCTGAGGCTGGTTCTGTCGTTGCTCATTTACTGTGCAGATCCTCACTGACAGCCTGTCATTTCCTCCAGTCAGGGATTTTCAGCATGAATGCCTGTGAAGAGGGCTTTGCCACAGGGGGCCGAGACGGCTGCGTCCGGCTGTGGGATCTCAACTTCAAACCAATTACTGTCATTGATCTCAGGGAAACAGACCAAGGATATAAAGGTGATGTCAAATTTGCTCTTTTTTCCCATTAATTTGGGTACAGAAATGTTGCAGGTTAAAATTTAAACAACAGTGTGAATGAACAAATACATCTGGATTTTTTTTAAAAGGCATTCTTTATATTATATTTTTTAAATTAATTTTCTAACATTTTCTTCTTGCTCTCTATTTTTCCCCATTTCCTTTACTTTTAAACTTGGACCTAACAGTAGCTAGAGGTGAAAATAGCCGAGGTGGGTAATGTCATTGAGGGCGGAGTTAACAACCATGTCAGTCTGTTTGTAGCAGTCGCCACATTTGTTCTGCTGTTCCTCTTGTTGTTAGTAAGTTCAAGCACTGTTGCAATTTTTGCGCTGTATACAGACGTCTTCTACAGTTCTGTGCAAACGTTTTAAGCTCATACAGTAAATTGGTGATGCTACCAATAATAGCCTAGTGAGTGTTTTTATTCAGTTTAGTTCCCAAAGTGTCCAAAAACAACTGAATAACATTCAAATGTCAGCATGTGGAGAACTCAACACCTGCTCTCAACCTGCTGATTTTGCAGTTTTTAAATATGGATTTTACAAACTCAGACAACATGATCAATTAAACTTTCTCACTCAACTGAATTTATTTCCAAATTTAGGCTGAAATGCCCTTTAAAGGAATATGTTATAATTTATAATTCATGTTTTTCTCTTGCTTAATGATACAGAAACACAATCACCAGCTAATAATGCAGCAGTACATCAGCTGTTCTGTCATAAAAAAAAGCAGAACTGAGAAGAAAGCGCAAGATTTAATTAACGTGTTTAACAAAGCACAGAAGGTTTATTTGAAAAAAGCAATTAATCCATGCAAAATGAAGCAAACAAATAAAAGACTAAATAGGATCAATCTTTATCCTAAAGTCATCTTCAGTGAGCTGTTCCGAGCATCGTGGAGAAGTCGTCACATTTTTTCCATTCATTCATTCATGTCTCAGTGTCTTCTGTCTAGTTATGTAATCCCAGACTGACTTCAGTATGTTAAGGTCAGGGCTCTGTGTGGGCCTCACCTTGGTGTTGCTGAAGATAGTTCTTGATGATTCTGCCTGTTTGTTTGAGGCCATTGTGATGCTGCAAAATGACTCAAGGACTGCCTCTCTGATGACTAAGAAACCAAACATCAAAAGTGGCTGAAACTTTTGTACAGTACTGTATGTAAAGAGCATTTGCATCCTCCATCCTATACTTGCTGTATTACCAAAAGTCAGTTGCAAATCGGCTTGAAAATATGTGCCATCCTTGTATTTCTTGTTAAAATCTCCATCCTAGCCTGCAGATGGCTATTATCACCTCCTGTTTTTATTATCCCTGTTGCGTCTTTAATAACGGCTGCCTTTTATAAGTGGCAAATGTCTGTCTGCTTTCATGTTTGCGTGTTATTTCGTTTCATTTTTGGTTATGTTTACCATTTGTGTTTCTGACAGGGCTGTCAGTGCGTAGCGTATGCTGGCGAGGAGATCACATCCTAGTGGGCACACAGGACAGTGAGATCTTTGAGATTGTGGTCCACGATCGCAACAAGCCCTTCCTCATAATGCAGGGTCACTGTGAGGGAGAGCTTTGGGCGCTGGCTGTGCACCCAACGAAGCCTCTAGCTATGACTGGAAGTGATGACCGCTCAGTCAGGTAAAGCTTCAGTTTCCGTTCGTGCAGTATTAACTCATGCATGCAATTTGTGTGTAAAAAGTTAGTCCCCTCCACTCCAATACAAGTTAGATTTGTAATGATGTTGATCTTTTGGAGTAACTGGAACTGCCTGGTTCCGGTTGTAAAGTTAATGTATCACAGGAAAAAGGCCAATTTCAATTTGCACTTTTTCATTCTTCTCTGGTTGTTTTTGCCTCTGCATTTTTCCTGCTGTTATGTCTGTACAGGATATGGAGCCTTATAGATCATGCGCTGATAGCTCGCTGTAACATGGAGGAGCCTATCCGCTGTGCGGCTGTAAGTACTGATGGTATTCACCTGGCACTGGGGATGAAGGATGGCTCATTCACTGTTCTAAGAGTCAGGTGGGTATACAATTCGAAAGTTGGATGGAAAATTTAGATCTAGCTCTAAATCTCCTCTAAATGAAGAGGTTGCATTATTTGGTGTCCATTAGCTAATACATTCCTCTGCTTCCCTCCAGAGACATGACTGAGGTGGTGCACATCAAGGACAGGAAGGAGGCCATCCATGAGCTGAAGTACTCCCCCGATGGGGCCCACTTGGCTGTAGGTTCAAATGATAACTCGGTGGATATCTATGGTGTGGTGCAGAGGTACAAGAAAGTGGGTGAGTGCATTGGCTCCACCAGCTTCATCACCCATATGGACTGGTCCACAGATAGCAAGTATCTGCAGACAAATGATGGCAGCGGCAGGAGGCTCTTCTACAGGATGCCAAGTAAGTACAGGAATATAGACTGCAGTATACACTGTGACTTAGGAGATAGAGTAGCTCATCTGCTTACTGGCAGGTTGGTCTCCAATCGGCATTTTGAAGCATCCTTGAACAAGATTTCAAATTGAGAGTGCATGTGTGTGATCAATAAAACACAAAGAATAAAGTGCATTAAATAAATTTCTGTATGATGTTGATCGGTCAAACAAAATATAGAAAAATCCTACAGAACTACCAGGTTATTTACTAAAGATGCTGCTTTGTGAGATAAAATGTTGCTCTCTTTTGTTGAGGTGGGAAGGAGGTCACCAATAGGGAAGAGCTGAAGTTGGTACAGTGGGCTACATGGACATGTGTTTTGGGCCCTGAAGTTAATGGAATATGGCCCAAATACTCGGACATCAATGACATCAACTCTGTGGATGCCAACTTTAACAACCAAGTCTTAGTAACTGCTGATGACTATGGATTAGTCAAACTTTTGCGATATCCATGTGTAAAAAAAGGTAAAGATTATCTCATTTTATTACAAAAATGGCATTTAGGTAAAACTTTATACTCTTGTTCTAATGCATTGTCTCTTGATTTCAGGTGCAAAATTTAAAAAGTATTTAGGCCACTCGGCTCACATAACCAATGCTAGATGGTCACATGACTACCAGTGGGTAGTAACTATCGGGGGTGCTGATCACTCAGTGTTCCAGTGGAAGTTTGTTCCCGAAAGAAAGTCTAAAGAAGCTCTGCACATAGCACCTCAAGGTACAGTATTGCCCTCACTCTGGCTTTATTTGCATCACTGTACTTACTGTAATGTGGCGCTTTATGTCCTTCAGAACTGTAGGTTTTACTTCTGATCAATCCATTAAGGAATATTGCAGCGTTACATTTTAATGTAGGTGATGACTTGCATTACGGCTATTACTTATTTCATAAAATCAGTGGCTCCTGCCAACAAGACATCAAATTAGTCTGAGTGTGGAAGCCGGATGTCTACTCAATCTCCTCTTCAAACAGGAGGAATACTGTGTACAGCAAATTCTGTCTTACGTACTGTTCATTTTCATTTTACTGAGAGTTACACAAAAGCCCTTAGTCTCATGACAGACATTTTTAAAAGTTATCGAAGGGAAAGCACAGATATATTATTGATGGCTGAATTCCACTTATGGGAGTTCCTGCTCTTGTACATGCTGGCTTACAGTAATGGCTTACTAGGATACTTAATGGACTTGTGCCATCATTAATTCTGCCTGTGCTTTTCCTACTTCAAATGTCTGCTGTGATAACGGTTTGTGATACCACTTTCTTGTCTTTGTGGTATAAATAAAAAAAAATGGAGGCAGGAGGTTATTACTTTGCTTTCAAAAAAACGCTGGGAAAAGAGAGATTATTTGGCTTGGCTCTGTCAAAAAATACTGCTGCAACACTCCTCCCACTGTCTTCCTGTGGTCCTAGCCTGTCTTGGAGGTCAATAGGTTAACTTCCCAAGGTGTTCAGCTAATGCAGCTCACCTGAGTGTTTCGACCCATTACAACTGGCCAATGAATTCATTTGATTCCGTTTGCGTTTATGCCTAACAACTCCACGGCACATGTGCTGATATTACTAGCTTCGAACAACATTTGTTTAATTTTGTGATTTTCCATCTTATTTAAGTGAATGTATTGCGTAAACTACTTGTCATTTGCTTTTCGCCAGTTTGTGAAAAATTGGGGGCTTGTCCAGGATCTTTTTTTGCTTGCAGACAGCAAAAGGAAACAGCTTAGTTGGGGAGTTTTTGTCTCACAACGTGGTCATGCTACGCTTAATTGTAACATAATTGCCTTTACTCTCTGGCTAGCCTCACTCACACTGGATTTATTAATCAGGGCTAAGCACACTTCATTTTGACCTAGCATCTTCAGTTCTCTCTCTCTCTCTTTTATGCACACAAGCTTTTGAAAAACACTCTTGACAAGCACCATGGTCCATGATTTTATGCATTTTGTGGCTTAATTGGGGAGATTTTGGAAGCATTGTTATTTTGTTCTCTCAAATGCGTTATAGAGCCATTAATTACTGATTATAGGGATATTTAGGGATCCAGCTGTTGTTGACTGTGCTGATAGTGCGCAAGTCTAACTGAGCCATGCTTGGGGCCACCTTTGTAAGCCGACTGGGCTTAAGGTTCACCTAATCATGCTAGGATACAGTACCTAGTGCTCACGCTCACACTAATCAACTGAACTAGATTTTGGAGTTGTTGTTGGGCACGTAGTTTGTCTAGTGCCTAGGCAAGAACCAGGTTAACTTTCTTTGATCTTCCAGTCTTTATGTCGTCTTTATGTGAACTATTGACCCTCTTGGCTGTAGCTCCATATGCACATACAGTACATCGAAGTGGTATCCATTTTCTCATCTGATTTTCCTAAATGCTTCGGAAAAAAGTGTGAAGCTACGACTGTTTGTCTGACTTAAACATTGCCTTTGCTAAATTCAGATCATTAAAAAAAGATTTATCACCATATATGTCATTCCTACCAATAATGGGTTTTATGAACGTAGTTTTTTGTCACACAATTAGTATACTCCTCACTCTAACCTCATGAACTTGATGTGCTAACCCACGAGAGAGCAATGTACTAGATTTCTTTCTTCTTGAACTTTTTTTTTTTTAGCAAACCGTCATTTCTATAAAGCTCTGCAAAGGAACGGCTATCACATTAATTAAGACAAATCCAATAAAAGTGAATGAACCTTGGAAAGTATAATTGCATTGTCGTTCCCAAGTCATATTTTTTCCAGAGACAGACTGCCTTGTGCTCTCTGAAATTAAACCACATACTAACTGCCTTTCCTTTTAATTTTCCTAATGGATCTTGTGAGTAGCCGCCCTTAGCTGCCAGTTCTGCTTATTGCCATGTCTTGGCACGGCTTTACTGTGCTGCATCAGCATTATTGTACATTTTTCTTCACTGTTGTCACTGTGAAGCAGGACAGTCTAATAAATAGGAGATGTCGTAGTGTTATTACATGACTGACCCTGACTCCCACTGAAACTGGATGAAGGTTTGTAGTAGGATATTTTTCTGATTTAGAAGCGGGGGGAATTTTCTGGCAAGCTGTAATGTAACCTTGTTTCTACCTACAGAGATACTGGCAGACTCTAACAGCGAAGAGTCAGACTCTGATCAGTCAGACGTACCTGAGATGGACTCGGAAATTGAGCAGGAGACGCAGCTCACATATAGACGACAGGTTTGTGTTAAAATCAAAAGCATCTCCTGGGAAAATATTACTGTGAAACAAGCAGTATGTGAACACTTTTCCACATGCATTCAGGTTTATAAAGAAGATCTACCTCAGCTCAAAGAGCAGTGCAAGGAGAAACATCGAGCAACAGCTATGAAGAAGAGAGAAAGAGCACCAGGGAGTGGAGTAAAGCTGCACTTCATTCATGGGTAGGCTCAGAAATTGCATAATCCCACACCATCCCAGCATTAGAAGAATTTCAGCTAGAGAAGTCTCTTCATGCATAGTGATTAAATAAAGCCCCCTCACCCCCTACCCCTTTTTTTGTTTGCAGCTACAGGGGGTATGATTGCAGGAGCAACCTGTTCTATACCCAGACTGGGGAGATAGTGTACCATGTTGCTGCTGTAGGGGTTGTGTACAACAGACAACAGAATACGCAGCGTTTCTACATGGGCCATGATGATGACATCCTCTGTCTGGCTCTGCACCCCCTAAAGGATTTTGTAGCTACAGGCCAGGTAGCCGTTAGACTCCTAACATAAAATATTCAAGGTTTTGGGGGTTTATGGACCCTTTGAAAGCCTTTAAAAACCTTTCAGCTGAGCTATATCTGATCCAAAGGGGTTCACTTGGTAGATTTGTGATATTTGTATGTTTTTTGTTTACCCAGGTTGGCAGAGATTCCTCCATCCACATATGGGACACAGAAATGTTAAAACCCATGTCTGTTTTGAAGGGGTTCCACCAGCTCGGAGTGTGTGCTTTGGACTTTTCAGGTAACACACAGTCTTGCTTTGTCAAACTACACGTATCTAACCTAGACATGCTTTTAATACTAACAAATTATTTTAGACATCCTGTTTTAACAGGGAAACAAAAAAGTAATTTTACACATAAAAGAAATAGGTAAATTCGCAAGTCACCAGTTTTTCAGGCAGCAGTGAAGAGCCTTATTCTGCTGTCTTTTAGTCGCAGCAGTCTGACAGCATCAAGGGGGAACTGTGCATCTGACTATCCCTAATTGGCCACAGATAGAGGGATGGTGGTGATCTGTATGTCATAGTCAGTGAATCACCTGCTGTAGATCAAACCCGCCATGGTGCTTTCATGTTGCTAATAAGAGCCAAACTTCACTCACACACTGACTTTTCCATCCACAGCGGATGGCAAACGGCTGGCCTCTGTGGGCCTGGATGACAATCACACCATTGTGCTATGGGACTGGAGAAAAGGGGAGAAGCTCTCTGCCATGCGGTTAGTACAGTTTTATTACAGCATTTGCACATCTGCAGGGGGGTCTTTCAGGAGAGCTTTGACAAACCTCCCTGTTAATTCTACAGATTGTTTGAGCACGTTTGCTTTAAATATGGACATTTATAGATGAGAGCTAAATTGAAGCCACTTTGCTTTGCAAGGCTGACAATGTGATTGATAGAACAGAGGAGAAAAAGGGAATTGCCTTTTAGATTACATGGCGGCTCCTCTGTAGACGTAAAGCCTGCCTGACTCTGAATGGCTAGAGCATGAGTATGCCCCAGGGCCTTGGCTGTAGATCCATAATCAAAGAGAATTACTTTTAACTCGTATACCAGGAGCTGCAGGAGGTGAGTTTGAGCTGCTTGATATGTCAGACGCTATTTGCACAAGGAAACGTGTTTGGAAAATGAATTAGAAGACAGTCTTTTGAGACGTACCCTGTTTCCCAAGGTGCAAAACGTACATAAAAGCAAATGGATTTCTAAAACAATCAAGCAATGAAAAGGAAAAGTGGTAACAAGCAAGTAGCGAAAACAATCATATGTCTTACGATGCCTGAAACAAACTGAACAATAAAGACTACAGTCGACAGACTGAAGTCTGCATTTTAAAAATGCATCAGATAACTGAAGACTTGAGCATCCAAGACAAGCATGATACTCTGGTTTCCATCATTACCGTGGTACAACTAATCCCTATATATGATGTATATGAACATCACATAATTATTCATTCACCAGGCTTGATACAAATGAATTAGATTACCAGACCTGAATTATGAATTCATTTAGAGCATTAAAGGTGTCACTTTCTCCAAAAAGATATGCCAAGATTTCCAGTTCTAAAAAGCCGAAGGCACCAGAAATAACTAACAGGAAAGCATCCGCATCCCGAAATATCTCTGCTTTTGTTTTGTTGCTCATCCTACTTGATGTTCGTATTTAGTATTTACTCCAGTGAAATACCCTGTGGCTACTTGGGAGCGGTGCATTGCGGGTTGCTCTCCTGCGTGCTGCTTGCCAGGCTCTCACTGGAGCTTAGGGACAGCTAGAGCAGCCTAATCTCTTTTATAGACACTGGTGGGAAATACAGTGAGGTGGACAAAGAGAAATGGGGCTTGACAGAGCCTGGCTTGTACAGCACCACTGGCAGAGGGGGTATGGGATGGAGAGCCTAAAGAGGGTGCTTTTATTAGTTTCACTGTTGGATTTAGCTTTTCTTTATTACAGTGTAATTGTATGGGCAATGTTTGTCAGCAGCGAGATTTAAGAAGTTCAGAGCAGCACAATAATAAGATGCAACAATAGAAACAGTTGGCACACCCTTATGTAATCATCTCTGTCAAAAAACATGCACCACAGCTTCCTCAGGGTAGCTGTGTTGACTAAATTTGATTCAAGACTAAAATTAAATACATTTTCTGTGTGTTTTTGTTTTAGTGAGATTTGTAAGTACACAACACTTTTCAGTTAGTTTTTCTTTTTTCTAAATGATCTCTGTTAAACATATTTTGTCACTCTTGGTTTTCATTTTTACTTTTAATTAAAGATAAAGAGAGCTTTGTTTCTTAGATCAGTAACATTATGGTGTCTCATTTTGCTCATATTTTTAAAGTAGTTGATGTGTCCTCATAAAAATCATAACATCTTTTTCAGAACGTATTTTTTTAATGGATACAATAGAGGAATACTGCATCCATCCAATTTTTTAACCACTTATCCAAATTTAGGATCATAGGGGGGCTGCAACCTCCTTCAGCTGTCACAAGACAAAAGGTGGGATACACCCTGGATAGGTCCCCAGTCTCCTGCAGAGCCTCTTGAATTACACTAGACAAAACCACCTTTTAATCTTTGAATTCAAGTGAATAAAATAAACCACCTAGCCAAGCAGTCTGCCTTGACTTGTGAGAGAATGGATCGCTCTAAAGAAGTGAATCCATGCCTGACATTGATGTATGTCACTGCAACGAGTCAGTTTGTGAATGTTTTTCACTGTAAGTGGTGTTATTGAGAAGTGGAAGCGTTTAAGAGCCACAGCATCTCATCCACTAACTGGCAGACCTCGTAAAGTTACAGAGCGGGTTCACCGAGTGCTGAGGGGCATACTGCATAGAAGTAGCCGACGCTACTGCTGAGTCAGTAACTACAGAGCTCCAAATCTCCTGTTGTATTAACATCAGCACAGAAACTGTGTGTTAGGAGCTTCATGGCATGCTTTCAATGACTGAGCAGCTTCTATAAGTGGAATATGTATGCAGCCTAAAATGTTTGTCCACATAGTGCATAATGATGTAACACACATTACATGTAACTACACAAATTAAATGTTATTTATCTTGTGATCTAGATATAAGCATTTTAATTTTGCAGCAGTGTAAAAAAAAACGTGCAAATTAAAAGTTTGTGCTGACATTTTAAAATGTTGTTTTTCAGGGGAAGCAAGGACAAGATATTTGTTGTCAAAATAAATCCCTACCTTCCTGACAAGCTCATCACAGCTGGTGTGAAACATATGAAGTTTTGGCATAAAGCTGGTGAGACCTGCATTTCACTGCTGACTAGCAGAACAGCCTCTAAAAAGCAGAACTGTGGCTCAGCCATGACACATCTCACAGTGACTGTCTGGGTCTCTTTCAGGTGGTGGTCTAATTGGGCGCAAGGGAAACATGGGGAAGACGGAGACTATGATGTGTGCTGTGTATGGCTGGTCAGAGGAGATGGTGTTTTCAGGCACATGCACGGGGGACATTTGTATCTGGAGGGACATGTTCCTGATGAAGACTGTCAAAGCCCACGACGGACCTGTTTTCAGTATGCACGCTCTAGAAAAGGTATAACACAAATCCAGGAGGAAAGGCTCTTCCCCTTATCAGGCGAAGTCTCTTCTTTAACTTGCAGATCATTAGATATTGTTCTTCTGTCGTCATTTTAAAGGGATCCTGTTGTGCTTTTTCTTATTTTATGGTGAATGTCCATTTTAAACTTCAGTATTATGTGAAAGTAATCCCTCAGCTCAAACTTCAAGCTTCAGTCTGCTGATATTTGTTGAGATGTCAGTGAGAGCATATATTTTTAATATGCTCATCTCAGTCACACAGCTCTGGCTCTGAGTATGCGCTGTAGATTAGAATAAAGTTGCCTTCAATGGTTAGGGAGTTAAAATATATGCTTTCATACAATTGAATGGATTTAAGACCTGGGCCAAGACACCAAGGTAAATTAGGAGTTACTCAGTGTCCAAGAATAAAATCATGGAGTTGGAAGAAAGCACAATAGATCCTCTTTGAAATATGATATTAGAGTCCCCAGTTACATCTGTTTAGATCTCATTTTAGAGTCCTCTTTTAAAAGCAGATATTATTTGTCATAAGACTTCATCTGTCAGTGACATATTCAGCCAGCAGGAGATCATTGCACCTTTACATGTTACAATGTTTTGGCCCCGTAGGGATTTGTGACTGGTGGAAAGGATGGTATTGTAGCGCTGTGGGATGACACTTTCGAGAGATGCCTCAAAACCTATGCCATCAAGAGAGCAGTCCTAGCTCCAGGCTCCAAAGGTAAAAAAAAGGTCACCCTGTTCTCAACTGTCTGCTGCTGCCCTTGGATCATGTTTGTCTAGCCATTATGTAATGCAAATCCATTTAAAACATTCAGTGCATTTAACTGAAATGAAGATTGCATCCTGTAGCCTGGTCCCTGCTAAGGTCTTTGTGACTTCATTCTTTATTTCACTGACTCTGCAGGGTTGCTCCTGGAGGACAATCCCTCCATACGTGCCATATCTCTTGGCCATGGCCACATCCTAGTGGGAACCAAGAATGGCGAGATCTTGGAGGTGGACAAGAGTGGTCCCATCACTCTGCTCGTCCAGGTAAGAAAAAAATCACATAGCGAATAACATACGCAGTCATCAGCTTCAGCCTGTACCAGCCCAGTCAAGATATTCAGGAGGATGCTAGTTTCTCTGCAATATGATGAGCTGGAAGTCTTTAACTTGACACAAGTAGTGGAGTCGAACGTCTTCTGAGTCAGTAAAGATTTCAAAGGTGGAATACGTGATTTATTTCACAGATAGAAAGCGGATGCATGATGAGGATTGTAATGTAATACATTTTCCTTATTGTTGAAGCGTTCTTAACAACATAATACTGGTGCCATAGATTACTCATCTGTGCAGGTTAATTTGCAGCATGGCGCCTAAATTGAATTACTGGTCCAAAAATGAATGGTCTTTTAGGAAGCTGGTGGAAGGATTAGTCTAAGGTAATGTGTGTGAGAACTGATGGCATGTTTCACTCTTGCCAATCTTAACAGGGATTAAGGTTGATGTGAAAGTGCCTCTTTATGGGTGCAAAAATCTAAATAAAGATCGTCACAATATGTTACACTTTGTAAACTAGTCTGCAGTAATAGATCCATATTATAGCATGGTTAATTGTCTAAAACATGCAAACTTGCCAATGCCGATTCAAAGAGGAAATAGTTGTAAATGCTAATGAATTACTGGCACTCAGTGGGAGATTGTTAATTTGGTTAAGTGCTCCTGCAATTTCTCCTCATCTGCCTTGATTTTAGGCAGATGGAGCAAATGCTATTGATTGCCCTTTAGATCGCACAAGAAGCGATCAATTGACGAGAACGAACAGGGACGGTTTATTCTACAAGCTAATGAGGTTAACTGTGTTAGATGAGCAGAAACCCCATGAATACTGGTATGTATAGGACAGGGGTGTGCAATTCCAGGCCTCGAGGGCCGGTGTCCTGCAGGTTTTAGATCTCACCTTGGGTCAACACACCTGAATCACATGATTAGTTCGTTACCAGGCCTTTGGAGAACTTCAGGACATGTTGAGGAGCTAATTTAACAATTTAAATCAGCTGTGTTGGTTCAAGGACACATCTAAAACCTGCAGGGACACCGGCCCTTGAGGCCTGGAGTTGCCCACCCCTGGTATAGGCAGTAAAGAAAGAATACAGCGATTTATGTGTGTGCAAGTGGTTTTCTTGTTTATTGCTGACATCAAATAAACACTGCTCCAAGACCATTCCAGACTGAGCCACCACCAAACTAGTCGTGTTGAATGATGTTACAGGCAGCATAACATTCTCCATGGCTCCTCCAGGCTCTTTCACATCTGTCAAATGTGTTCAGGGTGAACCTGCTCTCTTCTGTGAAAAGCATACTGTATGGTGGACCTGCTTATTCTGGTATTGTATGGTAAATGCCAGTCGGGCTCCATTGTGCCGTGCAGTGGACATAGGCCCCACTCTGGATGGCGAGCCCTTAGGCCACCCTGATGAAGTCTGTTTCTGATTATTCGGTCAGAGACATTCACACCAGTTGCCTGCTGGTGGTCAGCAGGGCTCTGGCAGTTTTCATCATGTACCTTTAAAGGAGCAGATACTGGTCCTGCTAATATGTTAAATACTTTCTACGGCCCTGCCCGGCTCTCCTAAAGTGACTGCCTGTCTCCTGGAGTCTACTCAGTACACTTGAGACTCTGCTGGGTGACACAGCAAACCTTTGGGCAAGGGCACGAATTGATGTGCCATCCTGGAGGAGCTGGATTACTTGTGCGACCTCTGTAGAGTCCAGGTATTGTCTCATGCTACCAGTAGTGACGCTGACCTTGGCCAAATGCAAAACTAGTAAGGAAAAAAAAACAGACAGAAAAGATGAGGAGGGGGAAAATATCCGTGGCCTCCACCTGTAAAACCATTCCTGTTTGGAGGGTTGTTAATTTCATTAACACCAAAGCAGCTGATAGTGAATAATAACCCACTCTGTTATTTAACTGACCAGATCAATATCCCAGCAGTTTAACTGAGTCGATGCTCTAAATAAAAAGTGTCTCTTTAATTCTCTATGTTTAAGTGTCTCTTTTAACATCATAGGTTTGATTTTTCACTTCTGATCACTGCATTGTAGTGTTTTGTAGTGAAGCAAGCAGAATATCAACATCAAGTCCTAATGTAGATATTGATTCCCACAGGGATATGATGAATTACAATAGAATATTTATCGCACATAATGGAAACTGTAAAGCCATTATAAAAAGTTTTTTTTGTGTATAACATTTAGTCATAAATGACTAAAATAGTTCTGAGTTAATGAGAACCACTTGTTTAATTTTATAGCCAGTGTACCCATAAGCAGACACAAAATGAGACAGAGTGGACCAATATTAAGTGAAATTATATTTACTGATTCACAGAATACGATAAAGAAAAAGTGCTCCCTTAAGAAAAATCAAGTTTGATCAAATCATTGCTAAAGAGCTCAGAAGGAATACGCAGGAGGGAGGTAAGGCAAAAAAGATGTATGAGGTGAGCCTTCAGAATTAAGAAAACGCAAAGAGAAAAATAAATTAAGTCAACACAGAAACAGGGAATAAAAAACACAAAATCAGACACAAACAATAAGCATATATATTCATGTTGAATCATTTTTCAACTTTGTTTTCCTCCATCACCTGTTGTAAAAGTGTGTTGATCACTTAAATCAAATATTTCTGCTTTTGTGTATTGGCAGGGTCACATGGAGGGTGAAGTGTGGGGCCTGGCTACTCATCCCCATCTCCCTCTCTGTGCTACCGTCAGCGATGACAAAACCCTGCGCATATGGGACCTGTCCCCGAGCCACTGCATGTTGGCTGTACGCAAACTCAGGAAAGGTGAGTCACTGTTGAAAAGCGAACTGATAACAGGAAGTGGATCGTCCCAGGCATTTAACAGACACCTTGTCCTCCACAGGCGGCCGTTGCTGCTGCTTCTCCCCTGATGGCAAAGCTTTAGCGGTGGGCCTGAACGACGGCAGTTTCATTATTGTGAACGCAGACACCCTGGAGGACCTGGTGTCCTTCCACCACCGCAAGGACATCATCTCAGATATCAGATTCTCTCCAGGTCTGTCTGCTCACCTCCGCATTTCCTCACCGGTACAAAACTCTGAGAAGAAAATAGACCTCTAAAAGCCATGTGCCCTCCAAAGCATCTGAGTTTACAGTACGTAGGATGCTGTGCAGTATTTCAGCTGGTGTATATATTTTCCTCCCGCTGTGAGTCGGAGAGATATTGCTGCAGGCATGACCCAAATTAATGGCTTTCTGTAATAAGGCCAGACAGAGAAACAGCAAGAGAGGAATGAGAAACAGTGGGGGTGGACAAAGTGAGAGCAAGAAACTAAACTCTCTTTCTCTTGGACACTTAACCTTAATCTACAATGCAAGAGATCCTGTTTCTCTACCCAACACCCATTCTTTACTGAGAGTGCCTTCCTTAGATTAGAAGGCATTATACAAAGTTGTGTAGTAATAGTTTGTAGTCCTTAATTATGCTATTATATTTTCAAGTATGTAGACCTACCAGAGACTCCAAATTGCCATTCTAAACAGCAAGATGAATAATGAAACATCTGCTTACTTCTTGTTAAATTCAGTTGTGTAAATCCACAAAGAGCAGTAAACCTCACAGTAGCAGCTGCTGCAGCAGGTCAGCTGATCACAGCCTGTGCACAAAGAAAATCTGCTGGAGCTGTCAATAGAAATGATTGTGAGTGATTTTAATTCCCCACGCTGAGCCACTTCGAACAATCTTAGGGTTCATTAGAATTTAGAATTAGAATTTAGAAATGCACAAAAATAACTGGTAGAAATGTTCTCCAAAGAGCTACGTCTTACTTTCATACTTCTATTACAAGGCCTGTACTTTTTCACTTTTACTTGAGTTAAAGAAGTTGAATCACTACTTCTTTTAGATAGTATTTTTTCACATAAGTATCTGTACTTCTGCTCAAGTAAAGAATAATTATGGAAATCTAGACTTTGAGGTAATCCAATATTTTCTTTGTGGGACTAGAAGAGAAGACAAGGTAGGGAGACTAAGGGGCCGTGTTATTGTTTATTTATATGCCATATGTACATTATTCACCTGCTTGTGATGCTATATGAAAAGTCAGGTGATCACCTAAGTTAGAGTGATTTGGTCACAAGGGGACAACTTTTGTAATAATTCAGTCTGGACTAAAACTAACTTGTACTTTTATCCTCCTTTCTTATTGGCTCAGGAGCTGGGAAGTACCTTGCAGTGGCATCAGGAGACAGCTTTGTGGATATTTACAATGTAATGAGCAGCAAAAGGGTAGGAGTGTGCAAAGGATGCCTCAACTACATTACCCATCTGGATTGGGACCGGAGGGGTAAGCAGGTTCTTAAAATGCTCACTAAATCTCTGCAAACGACTGTTTAGGAACCAGTTATAGATTCAAAATCTCACTGTTAAAAAATATTAACCACTATACCCACTGGGCTCTTTAATTAACAGGAAAACTACTTCAAGTCAACACGAGTGCTAAGGAGCAGTTTTTTTTCGAGGCTCCTCGAGGCAAAAGGCAGACCATCCCAGCTACAGAGGTAAGCAGTGAAGAAAAGGCACAACTATGGTTATGGTGCTGTTGGCACACATTTTCCCCTCGGGATCACAGGAGGCTTGGGGAAGGGCAGTGAAGCATTAAGACGGCCCAGTTTTCACCAGTATCATTCTAATTTTGGCAGTGGAAGTGGGATAGTGTTTAGGGTCACTTTAAAACATTGTGACATTCACACTGCTTGTGAGGCACACAGAAACAGGGAGCGTTAAGAAAATAAAGGTCAGAGATGAGAGATGTCACTAGGTTACGTCTCAGTGGAGCATTAGACGTCCTCTCCTCTCATTTTACCTCATTGTGATCCATTTATCTGTCATTCCCTAACATTCCTAGTGTTAGTCCGCAGTAGTTATAGGATTGTAATTGAAAGGCTAGGTCTGCTCTTGCCTGGCTTGTGTTTTGTTTTGTTTTTTTTGCCTATTTCTTTGTTTCTATTGATGAGATAGTTTGTGCTGTGGAGAGCCTCAAGGATCTGTTCGTGGTCCTATTTTATTTCCTGTTTATTCACTAAAAATTTAAATTCGTCATTTTAATATAGCATGTCATCTTTATGCCAAAATCTGATGTTATGATCACATTCATTTGTGTAAAATCAGATCAGAGAAACGTAATAAACGGGAAATAAATGCAACTATAACTATGAATATAAATATAAAAGAATACAAATATTAAATGTGTCTGGGATATTATAGGTGCACAGGTGTGTAAATATACATCGTGGCTTACAATAAGTAATGGAGTGCAGTGAGGGGTGTTTAGTCCTGTTCAGTATGGGTAGGTCTGACCCAGTTAGAA